GCCACGCCCGCGCAGGCAGGCCATCAACCCCAGGTGCAGCAGGCCGCGCACGTCGCAGAGCCTCCTCGATGCGCATGGCCGAGGGGGCGCCAGGGAGCTCCAGTCAACCTCCTTCATGCCGTACTCCGCGATGAAGACCTTGGAGTCCCGCTCACGACGGCAGCGCTCCGAGGAGATGCCCTCGGCTGCCAGGCGCGCAGCACGTGCAGGGGGGCAGAAGACCTCGCCCCAGTGGCTCGCCAGCGCCTCATGGATCCCGGCGGGCGAGGTGAGCAGCCTGCCGCCAGGTGCTTCCACAGCAGCGAGATGCCGCCGCGGGAGGACCGACCACAGAGCAGCACGACGTTCCAGGGCACGGCGCTGACCAAGGAGACGACGGCGATCAGAGACACGTAGCTGCTCTTCATCAGCTTCAAGCTCCGCCTGGATCTCGGCACGCCTGGCCCTGGCCACGCGCCGCTGCGCCAGGACAAAGCGTCCGAGGAACTCCGCATGGTTCTTCAGCACCACCACGCCCTTCACCACATCTACAGTCATCAGCTCATCCAGCCACGTGTGCCGCACGAGGAGCTTCTCCGCCAACGATACGCGTTGGCGCGCCACCACCCTTGCCACTTGCCTGGAGATCAGCGCCGCGCACCGCTTCGACCATGCCATGCCCTGCAGCTGCTCGCCCCGAGTCTCGGCCGCAGCCGCCTGCATGGCTCTCACGTACACCTGGTACATGTCGGGCGGGGCGCGCATCGACAGGTCCAGCACCTCCACATACTGGGCCAGCTTCTCCTTGAACATGGGGGAGTTCACGATGTCCTCGGGGATCGGGGCAGGCCTGAGCGGGTCACGAGGACGCAGGGGGCGCCACATCCACGTGATCAATACAGGCGCGTGGTCGCTGATGTCCCTCTTGTGCAGCTCCTCTGGCTCACCAAGTACCTCACACTGCTGGTAGCGCTGGGCCACCAGCCAGGATGGGACGCCCAGGAAGACCCGATCGATCCTAGTCTCGAGCTGGAGGCCAGGATGCCAGTGGGTCGCACACGGCGCCACCATCTCCACAGCATCACTCAAGCAGCGCTGCCAACGCTGCTCCTGCGGGCGCCGAGCAGCAGCAACAGAGCGTGGAGGAGCGTCATCGCCAAAATGGCAGTGCTCCAGCCTGTCGCCGAAGTTGAAGTCACCCACCACAAGTACCGCCGCCCTGACGGGGTCCAGCTTGGCCTCGAGGAGGTCGGCCGAGATCTTTGCCTGGGCCCGTCGTTGCAATCCGCAGTCCAGACCATGGTTGTGAATGTTCCAGTGTGTAAGCGTGCATGGCCTCCCCCTGTCATCACTGAACTTGGCACAGATACGCATAACTCTGCCGGGCACCAGTATAGACGATTCCCACACCACGCTCTCATCATCATCAGCCCTACGCATAGGGAATAGAGTGGCCAGCCCTCCAGTCTCTTCACGTTCTCCCTCACAGAACGAGGTAAATACTCGGGCTCGAATACCCACATGTTTGAGCAGTTCAGTCAAGCGGATGTGCGAGCCATGCACCTCCTGCGGTCCCAAGATGACCGAGTCGCGCTTCCAAAACTTGGCAAGGTACTTCGCCCTCGCTTTCGCCGTAGCAGGCTTGAAGTGGCACAGCGCTCTAGCATTCCAAGTGGCAGTGGTGAGCACGAAGTCAGCCGCAGCAGCACGTGGACCGACAGGGGCATCACGTCCATGCCCCACACCAGCTCCCTGCGGACTGATCTCATCCCTTGCTTTGAAGGCCAGACGTCCGGCCGGAAGGAAATTCGAAGAGGCCACACCAGTTCCCTCTTGACCCCCATCTCCGTCTCGCCGTAGTCCTCCCCCAGCCCCCGCAGCGCCCTCACCCCTCCTCCGCCGACCCCAGCGAGCCGCAGCCTTGTCAAAGGCACCACTCCGCCGTCGACGGTGCCAGGATGGGCGCCACAATCTGCTCCAGCTGCTCACGAGGAAGTTGGTGTTGGCGCAGAACAGCAGCGTTCCACTGGACAACCGGTGGGGGGCCTGGGCCCCCGATCGCAATCTTGACCAGGGGCTGCCACGCCATGGAGAGGGTTCCCTCCAGCTGGTCGGGGCCGACAGGGTCGACGAAGATACGCTTCGAGAGACCCTCCTCGAGCACCCTCCGCATCTTCTTGAGCGTGATCTCGTAGGACACCTGCCGCGAGTTCTTATCCTTGCTGAGGGACAACGGCGTCGAGTGGCCAGTCGGTGTCGAGGCAGCAATCTGACGCCAAGTGCCTCCAGGCCCTCCACCTCGAAGCGTGGACACCAGCTTGCGCACCCTACGTTCGGCCAATCCCACATCTCCCTCCATCCTGACCGCGAAGCGCTGGCCCAAGTCATCGCCCTCGACCTTCGCGACCTCTGTGAGCTGCGCGTCCACCAACACAGGCGCCATGGCGCGCTCCACCGCCGCGCGCATGAGCGGGGCCTTGGAGGTGACGACCATGACCGCGCGGTCGATCGCCCTGCTCCAGGCAGGCCCAGCCTCAGGCGGGGGTGGAACACCCGCAGCAACCACTCCGAGCTCACGTTGAAGCTGCGCCAGGTCCGCCGTGTGCTTCGCCATGATTCTGTCCGTCTCCTTCTGCCTCCTACGCATCTCGTCCTCGAGCCGCCTGATGTCCTCCTCTTGCTGCTGTTGGACGCGCTCGACCTTCCCCTGTCTGCTCTCGAGGAGGGCCGTGCGGCGCTCAAGAGCGCGCTGGATGCCGTCGAGACTCTTGTCCATGTTCTGCAAGAGGCGCTCCTGGCTGGAGCGCACCTCAGCGAAGAGCGACTCCCGCAGGAGGGCGATGGCCGCCGCAGCCTCGGGTGGCGCGCCATCCAGCCCAGCGGTGTCCTCCCCCAGGACGGGCGTGGCCATGCCGCCCACAGGAGTGCAGGGGGCCATCCGCTGCGCACCGTGCCCCACAGGGGCAGCACCAAGGCCAGCAGCAGCCGCCGCCAACGGGTCGTGCGAGGCCGCCGCCGTCTGCGAGGAGCAGGAGCAGGAGGAGGAGGAGGAGGAGGAGGAGGAGCAGGAGGGGGAGGAGAAGGAGGAGAAGGGAGGAGATGAGGAAACCCAGGCCTCACCGCCTGCCGCTGCCTAAGGCCAGCTTCCGCCCGCCAAGGCCGCCCTCTATTTGCTTCCGCCTGCCGTCCGCCACCCCCGCCGAGGGCGAGGTGCCAACGCCTCGATGTTCCCAGGCCTCCGACGTCGTCGTTTTGGTTACAGCGTGGACCCCAAAAGTCTCGACCATTTCCCCAGACCGGGCTTCTCATCCGAACCTCCTTTCTTTGTCGGCCCCAGGGCCCAATGAGAACACCTGGGGGGGGGGGGGGCGAGGAGAAAGCGGCACAAAATCCTCCGTCGTGATTGTTTCGCAACGCGGGAGGTCTGGTTTTCGGGTCAAAACTGGGCCTCTGGCCGCCGATCGGGACGATCCAGGCACCCCAAGATTGCTCTCGACGAGGCGCAGCTGCTGGAAAGCGTCGCGTGGCGAGCGAACTCATCAGAACCAACGAAAACGTCAAAAAAACCCTATCCGAACACCCATCATAAAAAAAAACCGTCCATAGACCCAGCGAAGAGGGCGAAGGACCGTTCCAGAGCGCACCCCACCCCCCCCCCACCCCAGGCACCCTCTGCGCGCAAGGGCGCCCTGCGCGCCGAAGCACGGGCTGCGGCAGAGAGTGGCCGCGGCAGCGTTGAGCTGCGGTGCTGCGGCGACGGGCAGTCGCGAGACCGCCTCGCCCTCCACCGCCTCCTCCGCCGCCTCTTCACCCTCGTCCTCTTCCTTCTGGTCCTCCTCGTCTCCCTTCTTCCCCCTAATCCTCGCACACCTCCTCATCACCACCACCATCACCACCACCAGCATCAGCATCACTACCATCATCACCACCACCACCACCACCACCACCCATAATCATCATCATTATTATCATCATCATCATCATCATCATCATCATCATCATCATCATCATCATCATCAGCAGCAGCAGCAGCAGCATCAGCATCATCATCAGCATCATCATCATCATCGTCAGTATCATCATCATCATCATCATCATCATCATCAGCAGCAGCATCATCAACAGCATCATCAGCAGCAGCAGCATCATCACTATCATCATCATCATCAGCAGCAGCAGCATCATCATCATCAGCATCATCATCACTATCATGATCATCAGCATCATCATCATCATCATCATCATCGTCATCATCATCATCATCATCACCATCATCATCATCATCATCATCATCATCATCATCATCATTATCATCATCATCAGCAGCAGCAGCAGCAGCAGGAGGAAAGGGAACAGCTGGGGACAGTCTGGCCCAGAAAAAACTCCTGTCAGCGGCACGCAGGAGGACAGCCGGCAACAGCACTACCCCCGAAAAGTCCTGGCAGCGGGAGGCGCTTATTTCTAACTGGGTAAGATCCCTGTGCAAGCACTAACTCAGGGAACTTAAAGCATGCCCCAGGGACGGGCTGCTGCCAATCAAGGTCGTATCACGATACCTATCCGAGACCATCAACAAGATCTCATCCGTGTTAAAACAGGAATTGGGTGCGCTATAAGACGCAAATGGTCCATGAGCGGCCTTATCTTACTCGGCTCAGCCTCTGCACTATCCACAAAGGGGACTCGGCGTGGTCACCAACCTTAACACCGCATGAGGTAAGGATACCTTGCGCGTAGATGAGATCGGGAGAGCTGCGATGGCGCCTCCTGGCTCGATAATCAAAGTGAGAGCGCCATTACAACTTCGGCTACAGATGGTGTCAACAATAAAGCTGCACATGAGGACAAAGTATCCAAAACCACTTAACCCTCGTGTCTGCGGGCGTCCGACGGCCACAAATGGAACGAGAAGAAGTTGGAAGATGAGGGTGAGAAGGCGCAATAGAGGGAGGATCAAATCGAATGATGGGCGCAAAACACAACAATATTGGCATTTTGAGGTCCAATTACTGCGATCTGCCTCACACGTACAGCGCCAAGAGGGAAGCATGTTCTCTGGAAACCAGCCGGCAGGACACGACTTCGGAGCTCCACTCGGTTTCCACATTTTCCCAGAACAAACCCTGGAAACTGCCTCTGCCCACTGGTGGAAGATGCACCGCAACTTGATATGGCGTGTCGGCAACGAGATCGGAAGCGTCGTAGTAGAACCCCAGAAAACATTTCGAGGATTGGTTCCGTCTGAGGCCTCTGCTGTTGTAGCTCAAGGACAATGCCACCTCACCGCTGTTAATGAACAGCTTGATGTCCATGTCGTCCCTGGGTTGGGTCAGGAACGGCTGTAGCAGAAGCCTAGAAGGGATCAGCCACGTGGCCTGACTGTCGTCGACGCAGTGAGGCAGCCCACACCCCTGCGCACTCCTGGTCCACGGCACCGGATATCTGAGGTCCCGAGCCCGCAGCTGCGCCTTTACGGCCGCTGGGACGCGGAACGTGGTGTTGAACCAACCCCCGACAAAGTCGGCCGGTGGCCTGTCCGGGCTCACGGGCATGGCTCGCTGTGCAGAGCCCCCCGCGAAGCGCGCGGCGACCGTGACCTCCCCGGCCGCCCACGCGCCACAGCGGACGCCGTTCACGGCCACGCCGCCCGGGGCGTCCAAGCGGACGCGGGCCAAGACCTCTGTCCCGGCTGGCCCCACGGCGGAGCGGAGCTCGAAGCCTGCAGCGCTGGCGCCGAGGGCGCCTCCCAGCCGCCCCGCGTCGGGCAGCCGCGCCGTGCGCGGCGCCAGCCCGGTGCGCTTCCGCAGCTCCAGGACGCGGGCGCCGCTGCCGCCCAGCAGGACGCGGGCCTGCTCGCCGTGGCGCCAGGTCGCCACGAGGACGCCCTCCCGGGGGAAGAGCTCCGTGACGTCCCACTCGGCGCCGGCGGAGGCGTTGCTGAGGCCCACGCCCTCGTCTACGCTCAACGTCGCGCTCATCTCGGCCATGTTCGGGTTGAAGAGGAAGATGAAGCCCTCGTCGCCCGCCATCGCGTGCGTTCCGTCCACGCTCCCAGGGCGTGGTCCTGGGAGCGTGGGGATCCACTGCGCTCGGCGGAGGTTCTCGATGTTGGCGTCTGTCCACCTGAGCCACCTCTGGACGAATGCCACGTCCTCTGCAGGGAGGAGCGCGAACTCCGCTACGTCGCGCGCAGGGACCATGGCCAGAACATTGTTGAGCCCAGCGGTGCCCACGGTGCTCAAGAGAGAATACCTGTACCCAAGCAAATCGAAGTCACGAGTGTTGCTATTGTTCACACAGAGCTTCTCGCCGCTGGAACAATAATAATGGCCGTCGTCATCTGTGCGCTCCGACTGGTGGAAAACGAAGCCTGGAACGCGGGACTGTGGTAGTAGTTGCTGCGTCGAGTATATGTAGTTGATCTTTCGCGCGTTGTCGGCAGCCACGTGGTCTGTGTGCAGGGAAGGGATGGGGACGCCATAGTGTTCTGGATTCTCGTCCCCGGCAATGGGTTCTGCATAGCTTCCCGCAAGCTGGTACCAGGGACCCCATCTATGGTTTGAATAGCGATGGTCCATGACCATTTCAGGGAAGCGCTCGCGCAGAGTCGCAAGAATGTGCATCCACGCCCTCCACTCCGCATAATGGAGGCTCGCGTCACCCGAAAAGATGTCATGGTCCCATGCGAAACCATGAGCACCACTTTTATTCAGAAAAGCTGACATCACGTCAATTAAGTAAGCTTGAACTTGAGGTGGTGCGAGAGACAAGGAATTCAGGCCCATCTTGGTGAAGTACTGTTGCATCGCTTTGAAGCGTAAGCACGGGTAGACGTAAGCCAACAGCTTCACACCACGATCCCCGGCATACCTCACCATCTCGAGCACATCCTCTGGAATCTCGTCCGAGCGTGGGTCCCACTTGCCCTCCCTCAGGCGCTCGCCCATGGAGAACCATAGAGCCTCCTCCCAGCCCCATCCGTCAGTAGCATTGAAACGACTCGAATGAAGGGAATTCTGGGGCTCATAAACCAAATGCGTCACGCCGAACTCTGCGTTGCGATCGATGATGCGCTTGTACTCTGCGCGGCCTGCGGACGTTCCCACGTCAATCTGGTAGTCGTTCTCGTCCCAGGCGACGTTGACCTTGACCGTGCGCTCTGAGCGGGACCCGGCATCCAGGTGATAGCTCTCCACGCAGCGCATGAACGCGACGCGCTCCCCCGTGTTCAGGCCCTCGTTGTAAAATCTGGTGAGCGCCGTCAGCCCGAGCACCGCGGGCTCCGTCCAAAGCCACCGCCCCTGCAACGCCACGTCGTGGGTGTACGTTGCGTTGTACGAGGCGCCGACGCGCAGCCCCGAAGGCACCGAAGCTGCAGAAGCCGCGTGCGTGCCCCATGGGTTTGCCACGGAGACGAACGCGCCATGCCCGGCGTCGCCCCAGCGGATGAACCCCGCAATCTCCAGGGGTTGGGGAGGGCCCCGCCCAAATGGGTTGGCCTGCAGGTGCCAGTCGGGCCTGCCGGCGCTGGGCTCGTCGAGCGCCACCTCGAGGCCATCGAAGAGGGCAGCACCTGCCAGACGGATGCTCTGCGCAGAAGAAACCCCGATGCGCTTCTCCACGAAGACGGCCCCGGGAGGCACGGAGTACGCCACCTCGACGCGGTGGTCGCCACACGCGAAGGCCATCGACGCCGACGCGGCCCCTGTCCGGGTCGTACCTGGAGGAGGAGGGCGTGGAGGCATCCCTTGCTAGACCCGACTGTTCTCAAGCTAGTGTTGAAGGCCTGCCCGTGTTAATATCAGGCTACGCCGCCCCCCGATGTTCATCTGAAGCACCATACTGGCTTCCCCCTCCACTGGCTGCTCTATGCTCACGGGGGACTGAGAGGAACGGCAGCAAGGAGTCCGACGAAGCTGCCACAACAAAGCCGCACAATGAGTAAGTAGTGGCCCTTTAGTTTGGGGCTCCACGACACCAGCGCGCCTTCAACCTTTACAGGATCCACGTGGCTCCATAATACTTAATGACTTGGTGCTGCACCAGACCTGGCAAACAAAGACCTCATCATTCTCAACAAATGTGAAGGCCAACGAGAAGGCATCAAAGCAATGGATCATACCGAAGCACTGATACCTGGCTACGGTACGCAATACTAGGAATCATACGCGCGGAGGTAATAGGCGGCGCGCAGAGGGGGGGGGAAGCTTCTTAGAAGGAGGCTGCTTCTCGGAGGGCGCTGGCCCTACATCTAGAGACAAAGTCCGCGCCTTCTAAGAGGCCGGGATGCTTCCAAGAAGCCTTCCACCTGCCACTGCCCCCCTCTGCGCGTGGCCGCGGTGCCTGGGTCCTCCGGGGCCACCGGCATGGCCGAGATCCGCGCGCCCTCACACTCTGCTTCGGCCAACGCCCGTGCACACATTGGTCCCGCTGGGGAGATCTGGCGCCCAGGAACAGCTGACGTTTCTGGGGGGGGCACGTGCTGTTCCCGCCGCTCGGCACGGGCCTTCCGCCAGCTTCCGCCCGCCAAGATGGCACTCGCGCCGCCTCCGGCGGCTCCCGCCAGTATCCCGACACCTTCCGCCGAACGCTAGATGACAACCCCTCGGTGCCTCCGGAACTCCCACGTCGCGATTGTTTCAGGACGTTGACCCAAAGGCTTGCTCCGGCAGTTCGTTGACGGTCCCAGGGCCCGGCGGGCCGGTGAGGGCGCCCCCATCGGAGGGTGGAGACGGCCCAGAAAGCCGCCCGCCGCGAGGCGCTCTGCGACGCGAAGGCGTCTGGGCCCCGAGGCCGCGGCCCCTGCCAGAGAGCCACGCCTGCCGCGCCACGACTCAAGTCGGGCCTGTCCCCCTACAGGGGGAAGCTTCAAAGGTAGTCGAAAAATGGTCCGGGGACTCCTTTTCGCGCATCTTTCTGACCCTTCTGGAGCATCCCTGGCATCTTTCGTACTTCTCGTCGAGAATCCGCCTGCAGGGGGACAGGCCCGACGTGAGCCACGACCGACCGACCGCGCGCCGGGTGCGCGGGGCACCCGCCAGGTCGCAGCCGCTGCGCGGGCCGAGCCGCCTGCCGTCGGCGCGGAGGCTCCACGAGTCCCCCGCGAGCGCCAGGCGCGCGCCGCCGGCCTCGCCGAGGCCGAGGAGCCCGGACTCCCCGTCGAGCAGCGCGGAGGCCACACCTGGGAGCGGGCACGGCCAGCACGGCTGCAGGGCGCTCACAGGCCCCCAGGCCCACTTCACCACAAGAGGGCGCACGATTTGTTAACGCCATTTCTGCTCATCGGGTGGCAGAGCATATCAATGTGTGGTGAGGTGCGCCAAGTAGTTCTTGGCGCTGCAATTTCAGTGTTTGTGGCCGCAGACGCCTGCCAGGAAAAGGGTACCAGGAAGGATAGGGGAGCGGGCACGGCCGGAGTCGCCGAGCGTCGGCGGGTGCCAGCGACACTGGAGGAGCGCGTGCCCCGACTCGCAGAAAGTAACTACTCGCAAGTAGTCTGGAGACCCCGCGGGGGATCTTACGGTAAATTGCATCAAGACCGACGTGTGGTTTTCGGACACACTTGCGAGTAGGCACTCTGCGAGCAGTGGAACGCGCTGGGTGATGCGCTGAGGTCGGGCAGGTCCCCCTACAGGCCGACCCTGAAGGGGAAAGCGGAGACAGCCACAAGACAGACATCTGCCCAAAGATGCGCTGACATGATCGAAGGCTCGCCCCCAAAAAAGCCATCCTCTGACACCGTTTTGGGGAGGTTGCTCCTGTCGAGGGACGTGCCCGCCTGAAATAGCACTGCACGTCGGCACTCGCCCTGGCCAGGCCCGCCGCCTGGCCCCCCAGGGGGCCTCGGGGCGGTGCGTGCGCCCTCCTGGCCGGGCCGGGAGGGCGCATGCACCGATCCTGGGCCACAGGGCGGCTCTGCGGGGCGGTCTTTTTTTTCCCCCTGCGTCTTTTTTTGTTTCCCCTGGGATGGTTTTGTCTTTTTCTGTTTCCCCTATGTCTTTTTTCTTTTTCCCTGGGTGGGGGAGGATGTCTTTTTTTGTTTCCCCTGCGTCTTTGTTTGTTTCCCCTGGGTGAGGGCAGTGTCCCGGCAACGAGCGTCGCAGCAAACGCCATGAGAGCGCTTCCGGCTACACCTAGTTACACCTGCGGCGGCGCACCGAGGGGGAAGGCAGAGGTGGCGCCAAGGGGAAGAGCATCGATGCCGCTGCCTGGGCTCGCGCTCTCCTTGGGGCCCGGCCTCCCGGCGGTTGTCGTCGCCACGGCTGACTTCGCCTTGAAAAATCCTGGTCAGAATGCTTCCTGGGAGAGGTCCAGAGAGTGTCATTGCACCGGCCTTGCGGACGTGCTGCAGCGGATTTTTGCGTGGATCTCTGCCCGAGGCGGCGGGCGAAGAACGGAGTGAATTTCGCGCGGATTTGGGGGGGTCTTCATTCCTGGCCCCACAAAAAATGTGCACGAAGTTCATCTCGGAAACCGGAACGAAACTCTCCAGGACACTCCGAGCCCATCCCATCGTTTTCCTCACGAAATCCGCTCTGCGATGTTGGCGCCATGACAGGTGTGCACTTACTGCGCCCTCTGGGATGAGGACGGGGTGTGAGAGGGCAAGCACTTGGTGGTGCCTGGAAACGACAGGGCCGTTTTTGCCACGGGTTCCATTCCGCCGTTTCCGTTGCCGGTGCCGTCGCCGTTTTCGTTGCCGGTTCCGTCGCCTTGTTTTGCCAATTCTGGATCCGGCTCCAATCCCGGAGCCGTTCTGTTGTCGTTTCCGATCACGTTTTTGTTGCCGTTTGCATTTTCAGGAGACACTTTTTCGGAAACGGTGAAAAAACGGCCCTGCCGCTTCCAGGCCCACTAAGGGCAGGCAGCCTAGAACGCGTCAGGTCAAGGGCGCCCTTGGGCCGACGAGGCAGAAGAGCATTCAGAGCACGCCCCCGAAACCGAAAGAAGTGCAGGGCCCATCCTTCACGTCGGTTTTGACTGCAGGATGGGAAGAGCATGGGATTGGCAGGGGGAGCCGTAGGCGATGATGCTGACGAGCCATCATCTGCTCCTGCTTGCAATCACAGAGGACCGCCTGAATTCGAGACAACGCACAAGCAGGATGCCTCCCGGCGACGGGACAAGCGTGGCAGGCTAGGATGAAGAAGGGCAACGCGTTCTCGCACGGGAACAGATGACAGCCTCGCACTCCCCAAAATGTACAGGTCGCACTTGAAAGGGGATCCCACTGAGTCCGTCCAGAGTTTAGTCTGTTGAGTCTCACCAAAGCGTTTCGGCCATCGCCACCTATAGAGCCTCGCCCATTCCCGGACACCCAGCGATGCCATCCGACGATGCCATTTGCTCTTGAATCCGAAGCCCCAGAACTCCCGACCTCCTTCCCCGGGGGGGCACCTCTCCGTGCTGGATCAGTGCCTGATGGCCGTGGGATCCGAAGACGGCCCCCGGGGGCCGAAAAGGGGGGACAGACTCCAGGATCGAAAAGCACAAAATATATGTGTATATAGAATAAACAACAACAACAACAACAACAACAACAACAACAACAACAACAACAACAACCATTTTAAGGCTGTACGCTCTTACTTGCCCGCGAGTCATTCAACACGTATACCCTACACCCTCGATACCCGCCCTCTTCGTCTTCGATCACACCCCTTTCGGGGGGATTATTTCTCTTTGCTGGGGCCGGCGGGCTTAGACGTACGGGCAAACCGGAACGGGCGGACAATCCTTCGGGGGCGTACATCTCTCTGCCCGCCATTGGAATTGGCGCGGGCCCTGCAAGAGGAGGAGGGGAAGAACGAGGGAGAGTGGGAGGAAGGGGAGGGGGAAGGACGAAGGAAGAGGGAAGATACCACGTTGTGAAGGCGTCCTTGGCGCGTGCGTGGTTCCTGAGCGCCGAAACGCAATTCCAGAATAATTTGTGAGGACGTCGCACGCGAGAGCGCAGTCCTGAGTACATTGTGAGGAAATCTCAGGCGGAAGCGGGGGCCCTGACTAAGTTGCGAGGAAGTCTCAAGCGGGAGCGCCGTTCCTGAGCAAATTGCACGGAAGTCTCAGGCGGGAGCGGGGGTCCTCACTAAATTGCGAGGAAGTCTCAGGCGGGAGCGCCGTTCCTGAGTCAATTGCGCGGAAATGTCAGGCAGGAGCGGGGGTCCTGAGTAAAATTCGAAGAAGTCTCAGGCGGGAGCGCCGTTCCCACGTAAATTGCACGGAAGTCTCAGGCGGGAGCGGGGGTCTTGATTACATTGCGAGGAAGTCTCAGACGGGAGCGCCTTTCCTGAGTAAGTTGCGCGGAAGTCTCAGGCGGGAGCGGGGGTCCTGAGTAAAAATCGAGGAAGTCTCAGGCGGGAGCCGTTGTTGTTGTAGCCCGGGGGGCAGGGGCACAGTTTGAGCAGGAAGACTTTCCTTGAGAAAAAACAAGGTGCGAGCCCCGGGGGTGGCACTTCAATCGAAAAAAATCAATGTGCACCGGTGGGGGGGGATCAACAATAATTATTCTTCAAGAATGAGAGTTCAACAACAACAACAACAGCAACAGCAACAGCAACAGCAACAGCAACAGCAACAGCAACATTAACAACAACAACAACAACAACATCAACAACAACAACGACAACAACAAAAACAACAACAGCAGCAGCAGCAACAACCACAACAACAACTACAACGACAACGACAACGACAACAACAACAACACAAAACAACAACAACAACAACAACAACAACAACAACAACAACAACAACAAAAACAACAACAGCATCACCAACAACAACATCAACAAAAGCATCATCAACAACATCAACATCAACAGCAACTACTACTACTACTACTACTACTACTACTACTACTACTACGACTACTACGATTACTACGACTACTATTAATATTAGTATTACTACTATTACTACTACTACTACTACTACTACTACTACTACTACTACTACTACTACTACTACTATTACTACTACTACTACTACTACTACTACTACTGCTGCTCCTTCTACTACTACTACTGCTGCTCCTTCTACTACTACTACTACTACTACTACTACTACTACTACTACTACTACTACTACGACTACTACTACTACTACTACTACTTCTACTACTACTACT